GAGATTGAATTAAAGTATTTTCAGTAGTGACAGAGAAGTGGATTTGTATAATAAACTTACAACAGAAAGTATTTCAGCATTAAGTATTTGATGTTGATTATCTTACTACTTTCTGTTAAATCACCTTGGAAGTGTATACATGCTGCAATCCCACCAGGTAGCTGCCTATTTTTGTTAGGCAATAGGTCTACAGTGGTTTTCTGCTCCGAACTGCCACCGTTTTTCCTTTCTTAGATGTGTGTATGGCCAAGTGCCAGTTTCCAGGCAAGTCACAACCTGTGGTTTATTTACTGACCCATGGCCCTCAGGGACGAAAGGTCTGTCAGTTTTCTCTCTTAAGCCTTGAACATTTGGTACCTTGTTGCTCTTCTCTGTAATATGTTACATCCTGCTTAGTATTGCCACAATTACATGTTTGATTTCTACAGGCAGTGTAAATTATGTGAGGATGTCAGTAACCGTTGAAAGGACTTTGCAGTGTAACTAAATAAGCATCTTTAATCTCTTATATGACTCCAGTAATCTGTTTAACCAGTGTTGAATTTGACAATCCAAATATACTATTTGACCAGGTAAAATTATGGTTAAGTTCCAGGCATGGTGGTGCATGCCTGTAATCCCAGCAGCTCAGAGGCTGAGACAGGAGAATCACAAGTTCAAAGCCTCAGCAATTTAGCAAGGCCCTGGGTTTAATCCCTGGCACCAAAAATTTTTTAAAAATAATAAAAAGGTTATCATTAAGCACCATGTGCGCATAGCCTGTTTTGTTTCCACTCTACCCCCAATACCTAGCACTTAGCAGGTATTTCTTTGACAAATATTTTTGGGGTGTTGTTTTTATTTTTTCTGTTGCCACTCTCTTATCATGTCTCAGTAATCATTACTAATCTGGTGCCCAGAGGGTTTGAGTTGTTTGACGCTCAGTGTAGAATATAGTGGGAATAGTGATGTGTAGAAAATGAGATTACAGTGCGAATATTGCCGTAACAGCCTCAGGTAACAATGGCAAGGAGACTTTAGGAGAGCTACCTCCTGAGTGAGGAAGCAGAGAGAAGTACCATGGTGTGATAGAGAGCATTGGATGAAGAATTGATGACCAGGTTCAGATGTGTGCCCTTGGCCACATGACTTAACCTCTTTGAGCCTCCAGCTATATGTTAGACTGTGCTCAAGAGGGCATCTCATCCCCTCCCTCTGAACAGCCAGCCAGACCATCCCTGCCTTTTATATTCTGCAGGTTGAACTTTTCTTAATTTTTTTTTGTTTCTTTGAGAAAAATGAATTCCTTGGTTAAGAAAAAATATGGACTAGATGTTTCCCCAGATTCCTTTAGTAATGATCATCTAGTGATTATTACTTATGATATTCTGTACATATTCAGCAAATATACTAGCAAACATAAACCAACTTCTTGTCTAGTCAGTACTATTAATTAGCTTTTTGTTGCTGTGAACAAAATACTGACAAGAACAATTTAGAGGAGGAGAAGTTTACCTAGGCTCGTGGTTTCTGAGGTTTTAGTCCATAGTTGGCCAGCTTCACTGCTCTGGGCCTTACTAGTTCCACAAACATGACTGTGGAAGGGCATGGCAGAGGAAAGCTGCTCAGCTCAAGGTAGCAGGAAACAGAGAAAGGGGTCAGGGGTAGGGCTAGACCAAGACCACATTCCCAATGACCTACCTCCTCCAATCACGCCCCACTTGCCTACAGTCATAGCTGGTAGTCCATTCAGATTATTTCATTAAGTGGATGAATTCACTGATGAGGTTACAGTTCTCATCTTAGAATGTTGTTACATTGCCTAACAAATGATCTCTGTGGGGTTTTTAGATCTAAACCATTACAAATATCTTTCCCCCTTTGAGATGAGGGCCACACACAGGGTCCATGGTGATTTGGGCTCAAAACCCAGGAATTTTTAGTTGTTTTTTTTTTTTTTTTTAATTTGGTATCAGGGATTGAATCAGGGGCATTTGGCCACTGAGCCATGTTCTCAACTCTATTTTTGTATTTTATTCAGGGACAGGGTCTCACTGAATTGCTGAGTGCCTCACCATTGCTGAGGCTGGCTTTGAACTCGTGATCCTTCTGTCTCAGACTCCTGAGTTGCTGGGATTACAGGTGTGTGCCACCATGCCTGGCGAATTTTAGTTCTTTATAAACTACTTTCTTCCCAGTAGTTCCATGGTCAAAGCCTCAGCTTCATTCTTTTTCTTCTTATTATTTTTAAATGTATATTTTTTAGTTAATGGACCTTTATTTATTTATATGTGGTGCTGAGAATTGAACCCAGTGCCTCACACATGCTAAGCAAGTGCTCTACCACTGAGCCACCAGTCCATCAGCTGCATTCTTAAGCAGCCTTGTCTCTTACCTTCTTAGATACTCTGAGAGTCACACACTGCACTGTTTTGATGTTTGTGTTTACATTTGCTTTCAGCTGTCATTGTTATCTGGGATGTTTGTGGAAAGACATCCTGGTTGGAACACTCTCCCAGCATAATGTTTGTTCCATCTTTCCCACTTTTCTGTTGTCCATGATAGGATCTGATTGTTTTGGAAATAATTCTGATCTTAGCAACAGGAACTATTTCCACATGTCTTGCCAGGAATTAGGCCCTGCGGGAGTGAGCCAACCTCAGAAGGAAAAAGGAGACAGTAGAAGAAAGATTGCACGAACAGTAACAGTGCTTAACATTTACTAGATACGCCCTTACAAATTACTTAATCCTTTGAGCCCCAGTTTTCTCTTCTGTAAAGTGGACATCAAAATACTTCCCTAGAGCCTTGTTATGAGGATTAAAAGATGTAAGGGATGGACATACTTGGCCTTGTGCTTGGCCTACTGTAGACACTAAGTTGGAGTGTCTCTCTCCCTTTTTCCTGTGCTATTTAATATTTCTTTTTTTCTTTGGAATTTTCCATCCTTTCTCCTTCCTCTCTTTTCTACAGTCATTGAATACCTGCCATGTTCTGGGCATTGCTTTAGGTGCTGGGGATACAGTGTGAATAAAACAAAGTACCTGTCTTCATGGAGCATGTGTGCTGATATGTCCTCAGTAGGATGCAGTTACCATAAGGGACAGAATGCAGAAGATATGAAGAACTCTCAGAACTCAATAATAAAAAGACAGCTCAAGTTAAAAATGAGCGAAGGATTTGGGTAGTTACTTCTCTTTGATCTGTGAATGGCCAATAAACAGATTAAAAAGATGTCAAGATCATTAGTCATGAGGAAAATGAAAATTAAAACCACATTGAGATAACATATCATACCTACTAGGATGACTATAATCAGCAGAACAACAGTGACGATTGTCTGTGAGATGTGGAGAAATTGGAATCCTCATATATTGTTAATGGGAATCTAATGACGCAGCTACTTTAGAAAATAGGCTGGTAGCGCCTTAGGATTCTAAATGTGACCCAGCAGTTTTGCTCCTAAATATCTATCTACCCGAGAGAGAAAAACATTTCCATATAAAAATTTGTGCATGAATGTTCATGGCAGCATTATTCACAATAGCCACAGAGAGGGAGTAGCCCTAGCGTCCATCAGTGGAGGACTAAATGAAAAGCGGTATAGCCATGACATGGGATATCATTTGGTGGTAAAAAGGAATGGTGTGGTGGTGTGTGCTGCAGCGGGGACAACATTTTGCAAGTGAAAGCAGCCAGTTACAGAAGACCACATGTTATATGAGCTCATTTATATTAAATGTCCAAAATAGGCAAATCTGACAGACACAAAGTAGATCAGTGATTGCCTATGCCAAGGGGAGGTGACAGGAATCAGCTTCTCTGCCAGTGAAGTTTCTTTATGGGACGATGAGATGTTCTAAAGTTATGGAGATGATTGCACCACTCTAAATGCACTAAAAACTGTTGTCCACTTTAAATGGGTGAACTTTGTGGCATGTAAATTACATCTTAAGTTACTAAAAACTGCAGCTGCCTCTTCTCTTGCGTCTTCCTCCGTCTCGTGGCCTCCTTCTCCTCAGATGTGTGTGTTTGCTCTGGCCTCCCATCCTAAAGCCAGACAGCAGAAATGCCACTTCTCTGTGGGACCCCTTGCTACTTCCATCCTATGCTTTTTCTCCTTTCATAGCCAAGACTCCTAAAAGTTAGAAAATGAGCAATTTAGTAATAGTTTATTATTGAAAAGTCAGAAATTATGGGTAAGCACACACAAAAAAAGATTTTAGATATTTAATCTCACCCCCAGAGATAATTTTAAATACATTTTTATAATTTCAGTATTAAAATTTGACATCTTGTTTTTTTTGAAATATTTTCTTAGTTGTAGATGGACACGATACCTTTATTTTGTTTATTTATTTTTATGTGGTGCTGAGGATCGAACTCAGTGAGTGCTCAGTGCCTCACACGTGGAAGGCAGGCGCTCTGTCGCTGAGCTTCAGCCCCAGCCCAGCCCCGTGTGTGTGTGTGTGTGTGTGTGTGTGTGGTTTTTTTTTTTTTTTTTTTGCTAAAGAGGAGTACTGTTATAAGGAAAGGTTTGTTATGTTACTACATGAAGACAGAGCATTGGATATTATAAAAAAGATCTTTACCTTTTGTCAGAACATTAAACATGGTGGGCTTTTATGCATGATTTGATTTTTCACTTTTATGATTTGTATGAATCAAATTTGAAGTTACTAAAACCTAATGCTTTAGAAGCATTCAAGCTTGTTAAACAATGTGGATGGAATACAGAAAACCAGGTTACCTTTTAGACTACATCTGTTGTGTGGCTTTTGCTTAAGCTGCAGCCTGATACCACAAGAGGATTTCAGTCTGAAATATTTAAGAGCACGTTAAAGTGCCGTGCCCTGTGAAATAAAAATTTCATGGATTCTGTTGAGCATCTATGGGGTATTCAAAATGTCTGACTGACTTTGGCTGTGAATTGAGATGCCAGATAAGATGGATGGATTTCCTGCTTTAGAAATCATATTGAGCCAATTTTCATTGATCCTTTCTCTCTTTTGCATCTGCAGAATTAGACTGGCTGAGTAACCCAAGTTTTTGTGTTGGAACTGTAACTACCCTGAGCCAACAAACTGAAGAGGCCACAGCTCTTGTTTCTGAAGGGTCATCACCAACAAGGTACTTTTTTGACAGGTGGATTTTAGCCTTTGTTGGTCCACTCTGTAGCTTAGTTCAGCTGATGCTCCTCGAAAGCCCTGTGATGAAAGAGTGAAACTCGTCCCTGTACTCAACAAGGCAACCTCTGGCTGCTTCCTCCCACCTCACCCCTGCAGAGGGCTCCTTCTTCCCCTTTTGCATTGCAGTGGCAAGTGCATGACAGTCAGTCCCTAGAGTTAGGTAGGCCATGAGAGAAGTGGTGTTGTTGAGATTCTCAAGTACTTTGCTACCTTCATTAGTGATCTTTAGATTATTAGAATTTGGGTACTTTAGTTGCCTTTTCAGCACTTCTTGTGTTGTAGCTTGTGTGATATAACATAGACTAACATCCAAGAAAGCAAAGTGGCCACGTCGCTACCCAGCTATGAAAGGCCTTTTGTAGATGATTGAATTGAGGAACGTGCTCTTCCACAGATGTAGACTAGGTGATATGTATTTGAAATCCTGTACTAGAATTGTGCAGGAAGCCTTTGGAAATTGATAATAATTAATATCCAAGAGGGAGTTTGTAGAGATTTTGGTAATTAGAAGAAGAGCTCATTGTCATCTTTAAAAATAAGGACCACAAATTAAACCTCTTTTTGTTTTGACCTTAAGGACATTTCAGCATAATATATGGCCCTGAAAAGGTACTTTTAATAATGTGCCTAAAAACTGCTTTATTTGATAAAGTTACTGATAGGTTACTTTTATTTAAAAATGTGAAAGTATAGATTTAGGAAACTATTAATATGAAAATTTTTCCTTCATCCATTTTTATTTGAGGTTCAGTTCTTAAAGTCTTTAAGGTGATTTGTAACCCAGGAAGGTTCTGTGCAGTAGCTGGGTAAATAGTCTCTGTGGGCGTTTTATAGAGCTTCCTATTACATATTTACCTATATTATTTTCTTATTTATATATAATTTTTTCTATTTCTCTTGAAAATAATTCTAAATTGATTTTCCCAAAAAGGAGTCCTCTGAAATCAGAGCCTTCAGATGAAAGTGATGCTAGCAGAAAGCTCACACAAATAATCAGGAGAAAGAAGAAGGAAAAAAAGAAAAAAAGGAAGCATCAGCACCACAAGAAAACCAAGAGGAAGCACCGGCAGTCGAGCAGCAGCGAGTCTGAGCCAGATTCTGATTCAGGAAAGGACAGATCTTCCAGGAGCATCAGAAGCAGCCAGAAGCAAGCTGAGCAACCCAAGTATGTTGCTCTGCTCAGATACTGTAGCACTTTAAATTTGAATTTTCTGTCTTGATTGTTGCCACAAGTTAGACATTTGAGTAATTAGCCAGTCACTCAAAAGATCTCTATCATTAGATCAGCTTAAAAGCAGAAGAAAAATTGTCATAAAAATTTAGGGGTATTATTTTATTTGAGAAATACTACTTAGACACAGTAATGATGGTGTCAAAATCTGATTTGGGCTTTCTCAAAGATGGCTCATGTGCCATATGGTGGGCTTATGTGTCACTGCACTACATAGTGAAGGATTCCATCCCTGAGGGCTGTTGGTTTCCATCCTAACAGAGACTAACGGGAGCCTCTTAGTTCTTAGCCTTAATGTGTTTTTTTGTTCAGTTACTCCTATACATGCTTTCTCTCTCCCTGTCTCACTCTATTTTTTCAGTTCAGTTAATAAAACTCTTAAATAATTGCTTTTTATCCCTCTCATTTTTTTATTTCACATTTATTTAGAAACACTGTGTTAAAAGGGTTAGAGTAGCTTGTGACCACAGTATTTCCTTTCTTGGGTGACTTAGTGTCCCCATATCTCACTCTGCTCATCTGCCTTGAACCAACTGCTCTGTGGAATTTCATTCCACAGAGAGGCCACAGCATAGGGACTCAATATAGCTTTTCCTCTTTGTGTAGTTGAACATCCTTCTGCATAGAAAGGTATGTGAGACGGAACAGGTAGAATCTGCTGAAGCTATTGAATTATTACTCATTTAACGTTTTCCTTTTCTTAGTTCCTACAAATTAGAAGAAAATTTTAAGTAGCTTTCCAGGGTGTACTTAAAAATATGGTGCCATTGAGATTTTTGCAACCCTCAGGGATTATTTGCTTTTCTTGTATGCTTGGAAGTCCTTTGATGCCAGTGAAAGCTCTCTGCTTCAGGAATTGTGGAGCTGACCCTGAGTGTTTCCAACAGAGAGGCAAACACTGTAGCCCTCTGGATCCCTGAGCAGCGTCCTCAGACCACTGGTGAAGAGCACTGCCTGCCTCTGTGACTCAGAGGAGCCAGATTTCTTTAGTGCTGTGTGTCTCAGGTGCTATACCTGTAACCCATGCTTTCTCTCAGGAGGGGAAAAAAAAGGATTTGAGCAAAAAGGTTCCGAATTGCAGGCTGAATGTAGGAGGTCAGGATCATGGCCAGCCTGCTTACTGCTGCATCCCCAAGTGCTTGGTGGGGCCTGCCACGGTGCATTGTTGCTGTGTGAATTAATGTATTATTGATATCTTTGAATTTTATTTTACTTATTTTTTATTCTTTTTTTTTTTTTGTAGTGCTGGGGATTGAACCAGGGCCTTGAGCATGCTAGGCAAGTGCTCTACCACTGAGCTACACCCCATAGGTCTGTGTTCTTAGCTTTTTTGTATTTCCAAAGCCAGCTACTTTAAATTGTGATAGTTTCTTTAGAGCTGAGGAAAATGTTAAATGATTTCCTGAAACCATATAGGAACTACCATGAGAACTTGAAAGATTGTTAATTTTGGCCTATGCTTGGTTTTATGATCCAGATAGCATTTTTTTAAGTGACCTTTATTTATTTATTTTTTAATTGTTTTTTTTTTTTTAAATACATGACAGCGGAATTCATCACAATTCTTATTACACATATAGAACAGTTTTCATACCTCTGTTTGTAAATAAAGTATGTTCACACCAATTCATGTCTTCATACATGTACTTTGGATGATGATGTCTATCACATTCCACCATCCTTGCTAATCCCCTGCCCCCTCCTTTCCCTCCCACCCCTCTTCCCTATCTAGAATTCATCTATTCCTCCCATGCTCCCCCTCCCTTACCCCACTATGAGTCAGCCTCCTTATATCAGAGAAAACATCCAGCATTTGTTTTTTTGGGATTGGCTAACTTCACTTAGCATTATCTTCTCCAACGCCATCCATTTACCTGCAAATGCCATGATTTTATTCTCTTTCAGATAGCATTTTTTTAGTTGTCAATGGACTTTATTTTGTTTATTTATATGTGATGCTGAGAATTGAACCCAGTGCCCCACACATGTTAGGCAAGTGTTTTACTACTGGGCCACAACCCCAGCCCCAGATGGCATTTGTAAGTTTGTTATTTTGTGGACTGACCTGAGATCAAAATAGATTGTTCTTATCCTTCTCTTTTGCTTTTTTTGTGATTAAATTCTATAGTTTCTTCCTGGGAAGGTTGACCTGGAGGAACTGTTTGTTTCCACATAGACAAGTGCTGAGACATTAGTGAGTTGTGAATGTCTTTCCATGATGTCAGGGAAAAGCGACTTCATGGAGGGCAGCATACCACGAGGGATTCCACTTCAGGAGACCTGGGGACAGTTTCCCCAGAGGCTGCAGCTACTAATTGACCTTCATTTCCTGGGATGAACTTTTCTTCACCTTAAAGGGAAGGCTGCCTCACCTTGTACACAGTTTAGAGGGCATCCTGCTTCCTACCTCCATAGCTGCTAGGGAAGATGTGAGGGCTCTTTTATGTGCTGGGGTGGGCTGCAGATGGCCCTTCCTCCCTGCCTCACATTTGGCTTTCCTTTTATTTCTGTTTTGCATCAATCTCTTTCCAGTGGACTCTTCCTCCTTTCACTTCCCCTATGGTTTTTGTAGTTAGAAAACCCTCCACAGTTGTCCTAAAGGAAAATGCATTCAAGTCACAATATATTTTATCATTATCATTCAACAAGTATTTATTGAGTAGCTACTTTGTAACCCTGAAATAGCATTCTCTTTTATTCCCTGCCAGGAATGATTTAGAAGCCTCCAGAATTCTTATTTGCATCTGGGCAGAGCTAAAAAGCCAAGATGGAGCAACAGTTAATGGCTGTTTTGACTGCTTTGGCAGCTCCTGTGTCAGCTGCATTATAAACTGATTTTCTTTAGAGGAAGAAAAATTCTGGGATGCCAGAAAACCCTTCTCTCCCTCTTACTTAACTCCTAGGGAAGCAGTTTTATTCATTTGTAACTGAGCTGAAAGTCTGCAAGCCTGCAACTTGGTTCAAAGAGATAAATAAGGGTCTTGACTTCCAGGGGTCAGCATGACTCTGCCCTTTCTATAGGAGGTCCAGACAGACCTACAGGCAAAGCATGGTATAGTCGAGACTATAGAAATGAGACTGGGACCACTCCTGAGTAATTCAAAATTGTGGCTCTTTTTTTTCTTTTCTTTTTTAAAAAGTACCTAGTTGGTATAAAGTATTTGAGTGCTTTCTTATTGGTGAGGTGAAGTGAGGGCAGCTTACTGTAATGTCAGTGGTTGTCACCTTTAAATGTGTGTCATCATTTCCTCTGCCTAGTACTCTAAATGCCTCAGAGCAGAATTATTTTTTAGGAAAAAATTTTGTTTATAGGTATACTTGCAATTCCAGTTATAGTCACTTAAATGAACTACTTAAAAAAAAATACCTATGTCGCTCAGGTTAATATCTGAGGTGGTGACCTTTCTTGTTATTTAGTGGCGGGAGGTTTTGCTTTATTTTTTAAACTCTTTTTCCCAGAATAGGACTCCTCTTCTTGTCCCTGTAGCATGTACTTAGGCGCGTTGGATGCCATGTGGGGTTTGAAAGGTTTTAACTCCCATATTTCTGAAAATGTCAAGTATATCACTGGAAGAGCTCTGAAGTGCCTCTTTCTTTTCCTTCTTCCCACAGTCAAGGAAATAATACTGCTGCTGATGCTGGACTTCGCTCTGTCTGGCTTGAGGACATTCAGTCTCTGACAGGAGAAACCTTCAGAACAGATAAGAAACCCGATCCTGCAAACTGGGAGTATAAGTCTCTCTACCGAGGGGATATTGCAAGGTATCCATGGTGTCAGTCTCTTGTTTTTGCTTTTGAAAGTGAGTTCTTTCCCCTCTGGGCTTTCTCAGCACGGTTTGCCTCTCTTTCATAGCTGGTGGTGGGTTTTATCTATTGCTAAGTTGTTGAGGCACATGTGACATTTCATATTCTAAAATGAAACCTTGAGGTCAGGTTGGATTAATCTTCTTTATTTCTTCTGCTTCATTTAGTGCCTAGGAAAGTTGCTGTTCAGTAAATGTTTGTCGAATGAATAAATCTAAAAATATCTTTTAATAATCAGTTGTGACAGGTATCTGGAAACCATTTGGTCTAATCTACATGCCACTTGAAAAAGTGGCAAAAGCCTGTGCCATTTAAAAGACTTTTAATGGTAATGACTTTTTCTCAAATTATTTCTAGCACACACCACCAGATGATCATAAAAATAGGTGGTATTTGCTTCGGTAATGAATTTGAACTTTTCCCCTGTAATCTGTCAATCAAAAAGATTTGAGTAAGCATGGCTGGGAGGCTTGTGCTTGTCATCCCAGCTACTCAGAAGGCTGAGGTGTGAGGATTGTGAGTCCAGGGCCAGCCAGGGCAACTTATTGAGGCTCTGTTCTCAAAACAACAACTATTTGACAATATTTTGTAGGAAATGTGGGAACATAAAGAACAATAATATACTATCTCTGTTCCTAAACACAGTTATAAGTAAAGCAATTTGAAGGTAGACAGTCATGGAATATAAGGCCAACAGACTTTGGAGGTGGTTACCCTTCATAGGCTAAATTTCAGTTTCCAGTACCTTACTCCAAATTTTAATCATTTCTCATTCATCTTAATGTTCCTCAACACATAAACAATTCCAGCTTTATGATCAGTTGTATCATTTGGGTGTCAGTACATATTATAATATGCATACTGTTGACTAAAACTTCATGACTGCGACTAAATGACTATCGTATTTAAATGTATACATATATATATATATATATTTTAATTTTAAAATTTTTAGTTGTAGAAGGACACAATACCTTTATTTTGTTTATTTGGTTTTTTTAATGTGGTGCCGGGGATTGAACCCAGTGCCTCATGCATGTTAGGCAAGCACTCTACCACTGAGCCACAACCTCAGCCCTGTATGCATATATATTTGCATTATTGTAACGTTGCCTGAAGTCTCGTTTGGTGTTCCATGCCCCTACAGGATAGTGCCAGAGATATGGTGGATACCTAGTAAATGATGGGCAGGAGGTATGTGCTATGGTCCTGTGCTCATTCCATTTAATGTCAGCTTGTCTGATGCTCAGGGCTGCTCCTGGAGGAGGAGAATCTCTGAGAAGTTAAGTAACTGATTAAGATCAGGTAGCCCTGGAGCAGCAGGGCTGGGATTTGAACTAACTAATGTGAGACAGGTGTGTGATAGGATGCTTTCTCCAGTTGGAAACGGGACCCATGTGCTCATTCTAACTGCTCTTCTTCTTCTTCTTTTTTTTTTTTTTTTTTTTTTAAAGAGAGAGCGAGAGAGAGAGAGAGAATTTATTAATATTTATTTTTTAGTTCTCGGCGGACACAACATCTTTGTTGGTATGTGGTGCTGAGGATCGAACCCGGGCCGCACGCATGCCAGGCGAACGTGCTACCGCTCGAGCCACATCCCCAGCCCTGTAACTGCTCTTTACTAGCAGCATAATCCCAGGAAGGTTGCCTCTCTTTCTGAGCCTCCTTTTCTTTGTTTGGAAATGGGAAATATAATTTCTGCCCTTTCTTATGTTCAAAGATCAGAGATATTTGATCTGGAATTGGAAATTGGTGTGCACTTATAAAGGGTTATTATTTATTAATAGATTGAAAAAAGGAGAAAACAATACAAAGAGTGGCTCTTGAGGTTTTGCTAATGAATGGCATAGGCCTTAGAAGAGTAATTAGACATGACCTTATTAATCTAAATTACAAACAGGATGATTAAAAGGTTTAAGGCATTGTTGGTTTCCTAGTAACTCAGGAATTTTAAGTGAGGCAGTCTTACCTGGGTTAATAGCCATAGAGCTGTCAGTAATTGGGTCTAGGAAGATAGTCATCCCTCAGCACTCTGGACTGGTCAGAGGACAGTGGTAGTAATATTGTGTTGGATACTGTATTTATGTTCCACTTGAAAAGGAACGCAGACAAACCTAGAGCATCCAGCAGATGGTGAGCCGTTGTTTAGGATTTGATTAGCTCTGGTCTGTCAAAACCAGGTGAAGGGGATGGATGTTTGGCCTGTAGCAGGGATGTGATCACTGTCTCTTAAGCTTTGTTGAACTGTCCATTGGAAAGTGGACTGACAGAGTTTTGACTCAGGGAGGCGGAACCAGGACTAATGGAAGTTCCAGGAAATCAGACTTGGCTCAAAACAAAGACGTCGACAAGTATGAGCGCCCCAGCAGCGCATGGCACGTTTTGGAGGGATATTCAGCAGGGTATGACCTGCAAATGCTAAGTTATTCTTTCCCTTTGGAAAATTCATTAGGACTGATACACTGTCAGTGAAATTCAGCTCAGTTTTTTCTCCATTTTTGAATAGATGGTTTCTTTGGCTGTACAACAGACAAAATATTGGCTTATGTCTAGGAGCCAGTTTTTATAAAATAATAATAATTTAAATTTACTAGTCCTTACTGTGTGTCAGACACTCTTCTAACACTTTTACATCTATAAAAGTTTTTGACCCTCCCAGTAATACTATGACAAAGGGACTACTATTATTCCCATATTACAGATGAGGAAACTGAGGCACAGACAGTGCTGTGGTTTGACTATGAGTTATCGCTCTGAACTCATGCAGGAGTTTTATCCCCAAAGCCTTATGCTAAAGGTATTAAGAGGATGAAAACTTAATCTGACTGTGATGTGTAGAGGTGTGGCCTATAGGGAGTGACTAGATTAGATGGGGTCCCTAAGGTGGAGTCCTCATCACAGAATCCTTATTGCTTTTATAACAGTTGAGCAAGAGACCAAGTAAATACAAAGATACATACATGCTCCTACCATGATGGGATGATGTAAAAGGGCACCCTCTTCAGAGCTTATACCCTGCTGTTTGGACTCCAAGCCTCCAAAACAAAATAAACTTTTTTCTTTTATAAATTAGCCTGCCTCAGATATTTTGTTACAGTATTGCAAAACTAACCAATACAGAGTGGTTTTAATGACTTGATCAAATTCACCCAGCTAGTCAGTGATGGGATTGGAATTTGGACTAAGGTATTCTTATTCTGTGAAGACAGAAGAGATGGAAGCTACAGAAGAAAAGGTAACTTTATGGGCATCCAGGGCCCAGGCCTATTGTTTGTGGATTCAAGGCACAATTGTGTGCTCTTTTTAAATGTATTCATTTCCCTCTTTATCTTCTAATGACTTATTTTTTCTCTTTCTTTCTTTTTTTTTTTTTCCTTTTCTTTCTTTGGCGGGCAGGCGACTATTGTGGTTTTTATTTAAAAATGTACACATGATGTGTCATTTATTGAACCTCCAGAGTGGAAGTTCCAATTTTGAATTATTCAAGTGAAGCCTAGCTGTTTATTTGATACAGAACTTTATTGGAAGAGCACCTTCATTGGTGGGGTATTGCATTAAAAAAACATCTTAAATTCTGTCCAATTTGTTAACCTCTGAAGGCCCAAGTTTTCAGATCTGCCAATATTTCAGTAGAATTGACACAGGTATATTAAAATAGGTTGGAAATCATAATATAAAGCTTATATATATATATATATATATATATATATATATATATATAGTGTTATAACATTTGTCAACAGTATTTGATTATTATAATTTTTTCCCTTTATTTTATATATATGTGTATATATATATATATAAAATTATATACCAAATTTAGTTTTTAGAGGTGTTCCATCTGGGACAGTGGGATAAAGTGGGTTAAGATTCTTTGATAAGTGATTACTTAGATACAGTCTAAATGTTCAGGAGTAGAGAAATAGTTAACTGTACACATCTGTACAGTGGAACAGTTGGAAGCCAATAAAAATTATATTCTCATAAGACTGTTGGTATGGAGAGAGCTTGAAGGTAGGGAGGAAATCTTGAAACTATGTGATATCAACTGTTAAAAAGGAAGTGTACGTGCACGTTACAAATGTATACAGAACAATGTCTGAAAGTAGATAATATAAGCCAGTAAGATTCTCTAGCAGTTTCATCTCCTTTGCTACAGAAAATGAAGCTATTACTTTTAAATTAGAAAACTAAGTAACTCCTCCCCCATACTGGGGATTGACCCCAGGGGTGTTTACCCAGTAAGCCACATCCCGTATGATTTTTTATTTTGAAGCAGGGTGTCATTAAGTTGCTTAGGGCCTCACCAAGTTGTTGAGGCCAGCCTCAAACTTGTGATCTTCCTGTTTCAGCCTCCTGAATCACTGAGATTACAGTATGCACCACTGTGCCTGGCCTCAGTAAACATTTTTAACAGATTATATGAATATTTAAAATACTGTATGTTTTTAATAAGGGATCAATACTATTAAAATAGTAGTAATTAAAGAGACAGTAATAGTTTTTTTTTTTAACTTAGTTTGTTCCTTAGGGAATGAGGAGTGTGTTTAGAACTGTTTAACTCTGTTTTGTCCCATTACAAGTTGTTGTTACACTCCTTAGGTTTTGGTGCTCGAGTATTGCCCCAGGCATGCTGAGCACAGCTCTACCTCTGAGGTGCACCCCAGCCCCATTACAGTTTTTGACTCATGTTGGAATACAGAAAGATTGTCCTAAGGTGATCTAGGCAGAGTTGAGGGCGGGGGGGATAGGAAAAGGGTTTGTCTTATCTGCTTTCTGCTCCTTTAACAAAATCCTGGGGGTCCAGGACTTGGTGACTCACTGAAGAATCCAGGTGTGTGTGGCTCACGGTCAGCCTCTGGCCCTGGCTGCATGAGGACCTGGGAGACAGAGCAACTGTGTCAGCTCAGGACTTCGTTCCCTTCTTCCTGGGAAGTCACTAGTTCCACTTTGGGGGTCCCATGCTCATGGTGACCTTCGTTTTGGACCCATTATGTTCTAGCGATCCTACCTCCAAATACCATCCATTTAGGAATTTGGGAATTAGGGTTGACTATCAGCTTCTGAGAGGACATCCAAGCCCTGCAGGGCGGGTGGGGGAGAAAACATTTCCATCTTGCGGAAGTCATCACACTTGAGCAGTGACAAAGGACAAGGTGTTCACAGAGGGCAGCTGTGGACAGTGGAGAAGCTCAAGATGGAGGGGGAGGCCATAGTGGCCTGTGGTGTGGTGGAGGCAGAGCTTGTGAGAGCCAGACCGAATGACTAGAGAGGCTCACTGTGGCCGGTGCTTTCCTCCTCCTCCTCCGTCTCCTTCCCATGCTTCCAGCGGCAGGCACCTTCCTAACTTAACGCCCACCCGTGATTCCTCGAGCCTGGTCAGAATCCACGGGAGCAGACTGGTGGCGCCCTGCGTGGCAGCATTTGTCAGTAGTGGTTCTTTCCGCTGCTCGTGGTGCTGGTCCTGGCTCAGCCGCTGGCTGTTGTCTGTTCTTTTTTTTTTTTAAAGAGAATTTTTTAATATTTAGTTTTTAGTTTTCCATGCTGAGGATTGAACCCAGTGCCCCGTGCATGCCAGGCGAGCGCGCTACTTATTTATTTATTTTTGGTACTAGGGATTGAATGCAGTTGTGCTTTACCATTGAGCTAGATCCCCAGCCCTTTTTATTTTTAAAAATTTTGAGACAGGGTCTTGCTGAATTGCTTAGGGTCTTGCTGAATTGCTTAGGGTCTTGCTAAGTTGTTGAGGCTGGTCTCAAACTTGGGATGATCTTGCCTCAGCCTCCCAAGTTGATGGGATTACAGGTGTGCACCACTGTGCCTCGCTTTGCTCAGTTTTAATTGGGTTGTTTGCTAACTACATACAGAAAAGTACAAAATTTTCTTTCGTTTTGCCTGTGCGTATATTCAGTAGTCATGTGCTGGTAACTCTGGGGACACCTATGTGTTACATAAAAGCGTTTAAGAACCCAGCCTCTTTTCCTCTAGAGTAGAAAATAGCCAGATGTAATTTCATTTGACATACTTTGTTTCAGGACTAAAAAAAGAATCTTAGGCCTGTATGTTGTCTTACGTATGGACACAGGACGATATTGAGAAATCGGGACTGAGGTAGGAGACAGATGGCTTAGGTTCCCAGCTCAGTGTGCTTATTAGGAACAATGTAAAAGGTGATGAGATTTCTGCCTGCCTGTCGTGTGTGGCTGTGATGATCAGATGACATAAAGAATATGGCAGTACTTTAACCACAAAGCTCCAGGAAAATATAAATTACTAAAATCTAGAAGATGGTCATGATGGAAACGTTAACGAGGGTTGACTTGTTAGGGGAAGCAGTCAGACTTGGCAGAAAATGCTGATTGCTAATTCTCTCATGGCTCTAAATAGAAGTAATTTTTTTAAAAAGTATTTTTTAGTTGTCAATGGACCTTTATTTTATTTATTTATATGCAGTACTGAGAATCGAACCCAGTACCTTACACATGCTAGGCGAGCGCTCTACCACTGAGCCCCAGCCCCAGCCCTAATACAAGCAATTTGTGTGCAGTGAACTTGAAAGAGTTTAAAGTTCTAATGAGCCTTCAGGCACTTTGAGGTAGCACATGTATTCCCTCAGTAACCTTTTTTTCTTTTTTTTTTAAAAGATACAAGAGGAAAGGAGACTCCTGCCTGGGCATTAACCCGAAGAAGCAGTGCATATCTTGGGAAGGGGCTTCCTCAACAAAGAAGCGTGCGCACAGGCACGTTGAACGCTATTTTACGAAGAAGAGCGTGGGGTTGATGAGCGTTGATGGCGTTTCTGTTAGCAGTAGAACTGATCCTCCCTCTGCAGAGCCGGTCTTGTTTATCCCCGTGAAGGACTTGGATGATATGGCTTCTCCTGTTACAACCTGGTTGAATCCTTTGGGGATTTATGATCGGTCAACCACACAGTGGTTACAAGGACAGGGTCCTTCAGAAGCAGAATCAAAGCAGCCAGACTCACAGCTGGACAGAGAGAATGCTCTTCTCAAGGCAAAGGTGGAGGAGTTTAATAGGAAGGTTCGGGAGAACCCTCGGGATATTCAGCTGTGGATGGCATTTGTTGCTTTTCAGGTAAGTGTCCCTGTCCTGGTTCCCATACCTTGGAATGAGGTTCCTGAATTGGGGCAGACCCTTTTATTCTTCAGCACTTTCGGAGCTGCCATGAGGAAACCTGGCACCAAGCATGTAAAGATAATTAGGCCCTAGCCCTTTCCCTGAGCTTGCTCAGGGTCCACCAGGGAAGCCTGATGTGAGGAACAAATGCAGCCTGGGTAGTCAGTGCTCTGCTGTGTTATTTGGGAATGGAGTCACTTGCCACTGGGGAGGAAGACAGGCTCCCAAGGGAAGGTGAGATTGGAACAGAATCCTTTTTTTCTTCTTCTTTTTTTTGGTGCTAGGGATCAAAACCAGGGCCTCATTTGTGCTGAGCAAGTGCTCTTGCACCAAGCCACATCCTAGCTCAGGAAGGAACAGAATCTCAAGAGGAGTAGATATTCACTAGGCAGTGGGAGGCAAGTCTGAAGTACAAACAACACAGGCCAAGCGCACAAATCAGAAGTCAGTAGCTAGAGCTGTGTGCTCCCTGTGTGTTTCCCTAAAGCAGATGGGTCTGTCTTTTGTCTTCACTTGGAACCACATGCTGTCATTAGATACTGTCCCATGTTTGGCTGTTTTATTGGTAAGACTGGCTCTTCAGAAAAGGTTTTCAGGGCACGATATGCTGGTTACTAACACTTAAATAAATCTAAGTTAAAAATGGCAGAGTAGGCAGGTCAGTCTGTTGAAGTAAAGAGATCACGACTACTGTGGTAGGTGACACAGGCATCTTAAGAACCGAGTTTTCATGAAAAGGAATTATGGTGAATGAGTGGTTATCGACAAAGTAGAAACTCGTGGGGATTGTTAGCCTACCCAAGCACTGTCGACATGCTGGAGGTCCCCACTCATTGTGTTAGTAAATTGGTGTTTTTGTCATTGAGGATGAGGTCATGAGGAGTCCTGGCCTGTATGCTATGGAGGAAGGAGAACAGGAGAAGAGAAAGAAGTCCCTGAAGCTCATCCTGGAGAAGAAGCTGGCCATCTTGGAGCGGGCCATTGAGAGCAACCAGAGCAGCATCGATCTCAAGCTCGCCAAGCTGAAGCTCTGTGCGGAGTTCTGGGAGCCTGCTGCGCTGGTCAAAGAGTGGCAGAAACTGGTCTTTTTACATCCCAATAACACGGTCCTTTGGCAGAAATACCTTTTGTTTTGCCAGAGCCAGTTTAGCACTTTTTCAATATCAAAAATTCACAGTCTTTATGGAAAGTGCTTGAGCACTCTGTCTGCTGTTAAGGATGGCAGCATCTTATCTCACCCTGCGCTGCCTGGCATAGAAGAGGCCATGTTTGGTAAGAAGATAACTGATCCAGTTGCGTGGGAGGAGTTGGAAAAAAGGACTTATTTTTGGTTTATTTTAGAAAAGTCTAAATTGTCAGAAGTAATTTTTAAAAAAAGTGTTATGACTCTGGTAGATTATAAGATTCCCCTCCAGCTCTGTGGGTAGGGGTGTTGGTGGGGGGGTGGGGACTGTTTAGAATCAGTAGTTGGGAAAATGTCACTGAACATGAAGCTCCAACTTTTGTACTGATTGGTCCAGTAAACAGTCTTTTAAGTGCTTTGGCTATCAACCTGTTACAACCCCTAGTTACCTGGTCTCTGGTAATAATGTACATGAGATGCCTTACTGACTGCGTAGATGTGTTATTGATATTATTATGCTGTTAATGTTTTGGGTGTGTTCCGAGGAGCTTAGACTATAGATTTCTGCAGTAATGTGAGGCAGCATGTTATGCAGGAGCTGGAGAATGTCACTCTTCAGTTCGAATCTGGGATTTGTCCTTCATTGGCTCTGGTGTGACTTTGGACATATATATTTGTTTTCCTGTTTGAGCTCCAGTTTCCCCATCAGGAGCAATAGTTTAAAAAAACTCATCTGCTCACAGGGCTATTGTGAACATCAATGAGATAGAGATGATATGTGGTGAGTCCAGCTTAATGTGTGGCACCTAACAGGCATATCTTTTATTGAATTCCCTGCTGTTATTACTGTTAGCATCCAATACAAACATAGTGCTCTATAAATTTATAAGCATTTACCACTCTTAACATAAAGAATCTCACCTTTGGGGCTGGAGGTATTGGGAGTGAGTGCTTAGCATGTATGAGGCCCTAGGTTTGCTCTCCAGCACCAAAAAATAAAATAAATTCCATGGAGAAACTTTTAAAAGTCTTATATTTAAAATTATTTGTGATATGCTACATACACAGCTTGATGTTATTTAGCAAATGGAATTATACCATTGAAACGCTGAACTGAAAATTTCAAGCACAGAACCTGGATTTGTTCACAGTGGACTCTGAGGCTTGATGAAAATTGCTGGGCAGTGACGCCATCTAGTGATCCGTGGGGTACAGAGCTTTGCTCTCTGATAAAAATCTACGTCATCCTTTTCCTACAGTTCTTCTTGTAGCAGTGTTGAATATTTGACAGCCAACATTCAGATCAATCTCTTGATGTATTTTTAGGTACCATGTGTAGTTTTTATTATAATAGTATTCTGTGTTGGCTTCATCAAAAATCAACAAGATTATACTTGGATGGAGCACTGCTGATAGTCCTTTTAGATCAGGACATGTGTGTGTTCCAGCTTTGAAAATGTTAACAGGAATTTCTGGCAAAAGATGTTCTCAGTGTTCAGTCGCATGTTGTGAGCGTCCTGTTCTCTCCCTCAGTGGTATCAGCAAGGAATTCTTTCCCTTTATTCTCCCTTCTGCAGCACTCCTTCTTCAGCAGTGCCACTTTCTGCGGCAGGCTGGCCACTCAGAGAAGGCCGTGTCTTTGTTCCAGGCCATGGTTGACTTCACTTTCTTCAAACCTGACAGTGTGAAAGATCTGCCTACCAAATTACAGGTACCAATCTCTGCTTATATGATCAGTGTCTCTTTCTCAGAAATATTCCACTGAGCCAAGGAAAATTCCACAGTGAAAGTAATGAAATAGGGATAGAGAAGGGAAGATTCGTCCCTTCTCTCCATGCCCGCTATCCATCCATTCTCCCCTCGTGGCCCTTGTTTAAAGGCACGTCATCTCCAGCAGTCATGCTGCAGCGGCAGGCCCGTCAGTCTCCTGTGTCCTAGTCTGGGTCTTGTGGTGCTGGCCAGGTAACCTTTCTACTGCCTACAGTGTTTGCTGGAGTTGCAAATGAAATTGCATTACACGCACCAGTCCTTGAGAAGGGTTCATCTTTTAGGTGACAAGTGAACAGTGCCAGAGTTTGTTTTGTGAAGAAATGAGAACATCTTATTATAGAGATATGCCCTTGTGAAAACCTCTGTCTTCCCCTTTTCCACTGAAGAAAACTGCTTTTTTGCTCTGAAGAGGCTCAGGTCTCCCTCCTATGGAAGTTTCACGAATTGCCAGTAAAAACCATTTTTATAATGATGTTATCTCTAGTTAAAGTTGGGTTAAAGAATTACCAGTTAACATTAGTGTAATGGATTATTAATAAGCCAGATAGAGTAGTTTTATGTTCTTTGGTTTTTTAAGAATATGCTGTGTTCCAGAAGTGATTCTTAGCTGATTCTAAAGGTCGGGGTCTGAATCCCTCTCATCCCTGTTCCTCTACTGAGACTCACTGTCTGTGAGGAGAGCATTTACTGCCCCGAGAAGGAGTCCACTGGCTACTGTGACACAAGAGGACCAGTGCTCAGCTGCTCATAGGTGTCCAGGGATCATGAGCCTTAGTCTTGAGGTTTTAAGTACTAATAGGTATGTGTGTTTCCAAAGCATTTATGTGACAGCTTTGAAATGAAACTTCTTACTTAACAATTTTCCATTTTTTATTAACTGAGACATTACTGTACACACATTAACAGTTTATGTAATAAAGCAGTCAGATACCACTATTTCTTTGGAGTAAAAAAAAACTGGTTACGATAATTTATCACACAATTTTAAGAAAAGTTCTTTTTCTTGAGTGCACTTTCTTCCGTCACTCTCACAAGAGCAGACCTATGAAGTGAGAGCATAGTCTTCCATTTCCTTTTCCGAGGGTGACTGACACATGCTGGGAGTGCAGGGCCCATGTCATCTTGCTTGCTCTGCCCTGCCCTGTCCTACCCTGCCCTGACTCTTCTAGAGACCATGTTCCTCCAAGTATGCAGGACACTGCTCAGGCTGCATAATCCTGTGACTCTGTCTGTGCTGTGCTGTGCTGGTTGGAAGAATGTTTGTCCTTTGAAAGGTTTCTTACAAGAGCCTTGTGGGAGTAGGGTTGTTGGCTCACTCTTGAAGTCCTGTTGCCAGTTGATAGCATGATCACGTTCCTGCTCAGCCGCATTCACATTCTGTTCCGTGGGGAATTATTTATTGCCAGTGAGCCGGTTTCCACACACTATGGGCCTAATGCCCACGTGAGTGGAGCCAGGGGCTCATGGGTCAGGCTAAAATGCAGGCCATTTTTTTCCTTGGCATGCTTCCCTTCTGTGTCTGTGCCAACAAGTATTTATTGAGTCCCTACTATGTGTTGAGCTCTGTGCCAGGTGTTGGGGGTAGAGTTACCTAAGATGTGGTTTTCCCCTCAAGAGCTCATGGTCATTGGAATTTTGAATTCCCTTCCCCTGAAAAGGTCTTGAAAGCAATGTGACTTCAGATATCTGTCAGGGGATCCAGTGGATTAGAGGAACAAGCAAAGCCACCAAGGAGCAGAACTGGGAAACTGCTTGTCTCCTGCCCAGCTGTAGGCCCTGTCACTAGAATTTGGCCAGTCTTTTTTATAATCTAACTTTGGAAGTGTCATCTCTTCATCTTGGCCATATTTGATTTATTATAAGTCACTGGGCCAGCCTTTGCTCAGAAGTGTGCATTCCGAGGCAGGAGTGAGGTGTCTTGGAGGCTGCCTGCCACACTAACTATTGTGTTTTTGTCGTGGCGTGTTCCGTGTGTTGACTTCAAACACTGGTAGCCACACATGGCTTTAGGAATCCTCTGCTCTCGGTATGTCCACCAGCACTTATTTTGTCCAGTGACTCAGCAGTGTTGTCCTGGTAGGCCTAACTTATGTGTTTTTAAACCTAAACAGGTGGAATTCTTTGAGCCCTTCTGGGACAGTGGAGAGCCACGGCCTGGGGAGAAAGGAGCGAGAGGCTGGCGAGCGTGGATGCACCAGCAGGAGCGGGGTGGCTGGGTGGTCATCAATCCAGGTAGGTGCCTCCCCGGGAAGATGGGTATGCACTTTTCTTATGGAGTTTCAGCATCTTCATGGTCACTTGTATGTCTGTATAACCTTTTTATCCGTGGCTTAAGAACATTGTACAAACTTCAAAATGTCAAAAACACATTAAGTAGATTTCATGGGAGAGTAGACTGTTTCTTCGTCTTTTAGACTTGAAAATACTTAACATCCCGTTCCTCCAGTCCATAGTGCTCTGAGGATGGAGTCTCTGGGGGAAGGAATTTTTTATTTTCTTTGTAAATTGCTCCTGAAGAAGCAAGTGTGTGTTTAAGACGGTCTTATTGTTCCATATAGATCAACAGATCCTTTTTGCCTTTTTAGGAATATTGCAAAATAATTAACTAGCATTTGTATAACTGTCATTCTGCATAACTTCAGAGTTCTTTCCAGATTTAAATTCTAACACAGCACTATCTAATAGAAATACAACACAAGCCACATGTGTGATTTCAGATTTTCCAGTAACTACAATGAAAAAGTAAAAAGTTGGGTGTGGTGGCACATGCCTGTAATCCCAGTACTTTGGAGGCTGAGGCAGGAGGATTACAAGTTCACGGCTAGCCGCAGCAATTTATTGAGGCCCTAAGCAATTTAATGAGATCCTATCTCAGAATAAAATATTTAAAAAGTGGGGTGGGGTGGGGTGGGCTGGGGAGGGCTGGGGATGTCACTTAGTGGTTAAGTGACCCTGGATTCATCCCTAGTTCCAAAAGTAGTAAAAAGAAACAGTGAAATTACTTAATAATGGTATTTTTAACTTTGTATATCATAACATAAACATTGCAACATGTAAATACTATCAGTATTTAAAAATTATTAATAAGATATTTTACATTTTTCTCCTTTTCCTGCTAATTCCTTAAAAGTTGGTGTGTATTTTGCACCTGCCGCTCACGTCAGTTCACCCAGCCACTTGTCCAGTACTCACCAGCCACATACTCACAGCTGGGCCTTGGGTGGTGCAGCTCTTAGACATTCAGTAACTGCTTCTCTCTCTGAAAAGCACTTCTAGCCTAGAGGGAGGTCTCCCATGCAGACTGTTTCATCGAAAGTACCAGGACTTGGGTACCAGGTTCTAGCTGAGGCTCAGCTGCCTCTTCTCCCAGCATGACCTTTCTAGTCCCTGTTTTCTATTTTTTTTAAATGTTTTTTTTAGTTATACATGGACACAATATCTTTGTTTATTTTTATGTGGTGCTGAGGATCGAACCCAGTGCCGCACGTGTGAGAGTCAAGCGCTGTGCCACTGAGCCACAACCCCAGCCTCTCTAGGCTGTTTTCTTGACCTATAGATAGAAACTTTGGTGTCGGCGTGGTTTGCCTGGCACAGAGCTCAGGCTAGGTGGCGTCTCTGCTACCACTGAGGGGGCAGAGGGCTCCTTTGAAGTTTTGGGCTTGCTCTGCTGGGGGCGCCTTCAGGTGAGGATCATGCCTCATCCTCATCCTGTGGTAGGCTCAGCTTTTAGATTTCCCTTGAGGGTTCTTTTTCAACAAGAACTGGAACCAGTCTCCAGGCTAACCAGTGGCTCTGTGTGAAGGCCAACAGCCTAAAGCCTGCATGCGTGGAATGGAAGTGTTGCACTGTTGGCCACAGAGACGAAGTGACCAGGGACCAAAAAATGGCAGTCTTGGCATTAAGCCTTCTTTGTTCAGTGACTGACTCAACTTGGGTCTGTGTTTTAGGCTAGCTTTTTGATTTGTTGAGGAGCAAGATTATTATGATGCTTAGTATCTGTGTTATAAAGTTTGTCAAATTCTGTACTTTTGCAATGATAAAGTAGCATTCTCATAGCAGTTATCTGGAGACTACGGTAACACTGTTTCTCTGATGAGCGTCCAGATGTCTCATGGTCACTCATAATAAGATGTAAAGTTAGTTTTCTTAGAAAGGAGTGTTAAGTGTGGAGACCTTGACTTTTAATATCAAGTTAGGGAGGTGTTTTGGCACCTATATTTCCTGATGTTTCCATTATAGAAAATTGTCTATTGAATTTAATTAATTTCTTTCTGATGAATTTAATAGGAGTCTTTCAAAAAACCAGCAGAGAGATTGATAATTTTCTTGTTTCCAGAAAACTAGTTGGTAACTATTTTTGTTTTTACTTTTAAAATTTCTGTCCACCCTGAGAAATGTAGCATTTAGAAGGTAGTTGGGATTTTATAATGTGTTCTGAGGCATATCTTTTTCATATATCACAGTTTATTTTTACCCATTAGTCTGTAATTATTATGTCTGCCTGTCCAAAACCATGTGACCTTTTGAATTCTTTTTTCTTTTTTTTTTTCTTCAGACCTAGGGATTGGACCCAGGGCCTTGCACATTCTAAGCAAACACTCTACCATTGAGCTATACTCTGATCCCTTTTAAAAATATTTTCAAATTTTGAGACAGAGTCTCAGTAAGTTGCTCAGACTGGCCTAGAACTTATGATCCTCCTGTCTCAGCCTCCCAAGTAACTGGGATTACAGGCACATAATATCATGCCTTGTTTGAATTCTTAGTGCAATAAATTCAGGTGTCTAACTGAATATGTATAACTCAGGGATCATTTTAAAGTATTTCTCAAAAGTGTTTAATGGATTACTTTAAATGTAGACCTTTAGAAGATGAGGATGAATACATTTTGGTATTTTACTTTGAGAAACACAGAACATTTAAGTAGAATGCTGTTATACATTTAAATTATTCAGGGTTTTTGTTGTTTTTTTATTTTGAAATACTTGTAGATTTACAAGAAGCTAAAACAAATGTACCTAGAAGTTTTGTGAACCCTTTGCTCAGTCCCACACAGTGGGCAGAGTTTCACAACCAGGAAGCTGGCATTGGTATAGTCTGCAGGGTTAGGGTTGATTCCAGTTTCACCAGTCTGCACCTCGTTTGTGTGTGTGTGTGTTTCCCTAGGTACTTCGGTCCCGTGTAGCTTCATGCAGTCACCACCACACTCCAACACAGATCTGATTCATCACACAGAGCCCCCCCCCCCCCATGACTCCCCTTTTTGGTCCCCCTGGTCCCTCCCACTGATCTGTTCTCTACCATCTCTAGAATCTTTGCATCTTCCTTCTCTGAAACTCTGTGCTAATTAATCCCCTCTCCCTGTAGCAGCTACCATTCTTTCTTGCTTTAGTAACCTCACACAAGATCAGTTTTGTAATTATTTGTCCTTTTGTGACAAGCTTATTCCACTTATCATAGTGTCCTTAAGGTTCACCTATGTTGTGCATGTGTTGGAATTTCCCTTTCTCTTAAGATGGGATGTGTGTGCCACATTTGGTTTATTCATTCTTCCATTGATGGACACTTGGGTTGCTTTACCTTCAGCGGTTGCTGATGCTGTCACGAACATGGGTGTAAAATATTTGAGTTCCTGCTTTTGGTTCTTGGTATATGTTCAGAAGTGGAATTGCCCAATCATGGTAATCCTAAGTTCAGTCTTTTCAACTGTCAATACTATTTTTTACAGTGACTGTATCATTTTACATTCCTACTACCACTGCACAAAGGCTCTGGTCTCTCCACCTCCTTTGCAACGCTTGTTTTCTGTGTAATTTTTTGAGATTGAATTATTCGCTTAGCACAAGTCCCCTGAGATACATATAAATTATTGTGGCTATCGATAGTTGTTCGTTTTTAACACTGAGTAGTAGTAGTCCACAGTATAGTTGTGTCACAGGTTCTGTTCACTTACTGTGGGAACATTTGGGCTACTGTGAATAAAGCCACTACAAACATTAGTGTATAGGATTTTATGTGAATATAGGTTTTTGTTTTTCTGGAATCAGTTGTTCAGAATTAGGAATCAGAGAAATTACTAGATATTCTGAATTGACCTATTTTTAAGCAACTTACAGTGGTGTCATAGTTAATGATAAGGCCACTGTCTAAAAAGTCTGATGGCTTAAGGAAATCTAAGCCAATACAGTCACTAAATAATATTCAGCATTCTAAAACTGTGTTGTCCAAAACGGTGATCTCTAGTTACCTCTAGTGACTATTTAAAAATTAATTAAAATGAAATTAAGAATTCAGTATTTTTTTATTTGTGATATTTCAGGTGCCCAGTAAGTCACATGTAGCTAGTTGGTACTGTTTTAGCACAGATAAAGAACATTTTTCACCTCTGCAGAAAGTTCTTTTGAACAGTGCTGGTCTAGAGTATCTATCATTCTTTTTTTTGCTGTGATAGTATTTCAAATTGTCTGATTCCCTTATCTTTCCTGCCTGTTCTTCCTGGGCCTTGGGAGAGTCCCTAGATGCCCCTGAATGCCTGAGGAAGCTGGCCTGGCTCTGATTCATCTTGGCGTGGTAGGTGCCCACACAGTACCTGGCACAGCAGATTGACTGGGTGACCGTGGGGGTTTTATTTACTGCTTAGGTGAACTGGAGATTTCATTCTTGTCTAGATGAGGATGATGACGAGCCAGAAGAGGATGACCAGGAGATAAAAGAGAAGACTCTGCCCAGGTGGCAGATCTGGCTTGCTGCTGAGCGTTCCCGAGATCAAAGGCACTGGCGGCCCTGGCGCCCTGATAAGACCAAGAAACAAACTGAGGAAGACTGTGAGGATCCCGAGAGACAGGCACGTGCGCTCCACCGCAGGCAGGAAATTGACCTTGGGATTTTTGTCCTCCTCTCATTCCCATTATGTCTCCTTATCTGAAAGAAGTTGCTGGGGGTGCCCTAGTGCTTGGCTGGCTCAGAAGACTCTGGCCTGTTTCTGTCTGTGTCTGGGGAAACAGCCCTCCTGTTCAGTATCAGATAGAATTTCCCTGCATCTGGTTATGGGAGTGCTTATTGGCACTTGACTAGGTAGATCCTGTTGAAGGTAGGCTCTCTTGGTCTCCCCTTTGGAGAGTGTCTTCCAGGTCATTTAGTTAACTTTTCATATGGAACCCTGTGGCCTCAAGTTCTAAAATTTGGATCACTGTCCTAGATTGTTTAATTGTGTCTGCTCCCCCACCCATTCTCTTGGATCCATGGAGATGTAGCAGCTGGATTCAACTCTAGAAGGCATGAGGGGAGAATGGAGAGACCGTACCTGGGCAGTAGGCGCACAGCTTGACTTGTTGAGGAAGGCGCTGGTGTTGGTTGAACATGTTGAGGGCCACACACTTCATTTTACTGTTGTTCCATGGTATGATCTGTGCTGCTCTGCATTTGTGGGTTAGCAGCTCTGCGGGTTTTAAATTAAAATGAGGGAGGAAGTGCTGTTTTTTTTGTTTGTTTGTTTTAGGTGGACACAATATCTTTATTTTATTTTTATGTGGTGCTGAGGGTCGAACCCAGTGCCTCGCGCATGCCAGGCCAGCGCACTACCACTTGAGCCACGTTCCCAGCCCAGAAGTGCTCTTTTGATGCCTGGAATTGACCAGGTACCAGCTCTACTACTTGGTGGGTGTTACATGAATAGATTTTTCTCTGTGACCTTGCAAGTGACATGCCTCAAAGGTGGGGAGTTCTGCCTCTTGTTCGTTGCTGTGTCATCAGTGCCTAGAGCAATGCTCATTCTGTGCTTAGGTGATATTCTTATATGTTGAAGGGTTGTTTGTTGATGCTGGAGCATGAAGGCCCCACAGTGCCAGCCACATCTGTGAACAGGGTGGCCAGACTGGAGTTAAGATGCAGAGAATTGGGGCTAGAGAAGCAGGTGTGGTCTGGGCAGGAGGGCCAGCTTCCAGGGAAACCTCAGCTCTCCGCCTGCTGTGGGAGGCGTGTTTGTGTGGGAGACCTCTTTCCTGACTGCAGCCGAGTGTTTAGGGGAGACTGGGGTCTCCTTTTGGTGTTCCAGGATCTTATATGGAGTTCACTACTAACCTTTGGGAAGTTGGTTCTCTACCAAGAATTCCACCTGTCCCATGGACCTGGAGCACACAACTGTTGTGAGTGACTTCTTGTCATTTAGCTTTTTCTCTAGTCCAGGCCTGGGGAACAAAATCTTTTTGATTAATTGATGGTTTGATTCATTGAGTGCCAAGTTTATTGTGTTTGCATTTTGATTTCCTCTGCCGAGAGCCACAGAGATGAATCAGACAAGCAGCAAGTACCTTGAAGCAAAGAGCAGTGGGCGTCCTTGGCTTAGATGTTTTAAAACAATTACATGAAATCAGCTGTGAACATGTACAGTTGGTATTGGGCTCTTAAATGCTCTTGTCATTTTCTTCTTACCTGTGCCTGTTTATCTGCAGTTTTCATTTTCTGAAGAAAATTTGGACAAAAGAAATTCTCAAATAGAATTTTTTTTACCTTAAGATACAAAGGTTTGTTATAGTAACTATAAAAGCAATTATGTGTGCTTTTTGAAGGGAACATGGTCAGTCTCTCCTATGAATCCAGCAGGATTCTTTGGAAGTGGTCGGCTTGAGCCTGTTTGTGCCTGTCTGCCTTCACAGTTCTCCCCAGAGGTGTGAAAGTGCTAGTAGTCTTGGGCTGCTGGTGGTTCTCCAGCTGTCTGGGAGGCCTTGGGCGGCATCCAGCTTTTTTGTATTTTGCAGAAAACTTAGTTCTATATAAGATTTACTTTAATTTGAGTCATGTTGAATCATTAGTACCTCCATATAAAAAGAAATGTGAAAAAATGTGAAGACAGAAGTCTTGTGTGTTTTTTTCATTTCATTAAATGGATCCCTTTATTCTGCCTTTGATACAGGTGTTGTTTGATGATATTGGACAATCTCTGATCAGGCTTTCCAGCCAAGAGCTTCAGTTCCAGTTGATCGAGGCCTTTCTGCAGTTCTTGGGTGTGCCTTCTGGCTTTGTCCCTCCAGCCTCCTGCCTGTACCTGGCCATGGATGAGAGCAGCATCTTTGATAGTGGACTCTGTGATGAAAAGCCCTTGACTTTTTTCAACCTTTCATTTTCTGGCATTAGCTGTGTTGGCTGCATGGACCGGTTGGGCTCTCTCCGCTGGACCAGGGGTCACAATCGAGAGGGCGAGGAGTTCATTCGCAATGTCTTCCACCTTGTGATGCCTTTGTTTTCGGGCAAGCAAAAGTCTCAGCTCTGCTTCTCCTGGTTACGGTACGAGATTGCAAAGGTAACTCCAGCTGCCTCCTGCCCGGGTTTGGGGCTTTTTCATTTCACATCAGTGTTACAGATGGCATTGCAAGGCCCCAAGTGCTGCTCCAGGAACCATGACGACTCCTGAAGGCACGTTGTGCATGGCTGCCCTTCAGAGGGGCTGCAGGGAAGAGGAAAGCAGGGGCCAGTCCAGGGCTCAGTGCTGGAGCTGTCACGAGGAGGTTCTTACCAGATGCCTGCGATGATGTTGGCAGTTGGTGTTAAGAACCAGAGTCAGCTTAAGCAGGGTTAAAGGATTTATGTGCTTATTAGAATAGATAAATAAGCTACTTATCCTGAGCGGTATAGCTATCTGCTCAAAAGTGAGTCTCAGCCTGCTGCTCTGCCCTCTGCTGGCCATAGTTAGTACTGACTCTTAACATTCAGAGTTCTGAAGCTAACTACAGCTTATGCATACCAAGTTGTGTTAAAATAGTGTCTTTGATAAAATGTGGTGGCCACGTCTCTTTGGAAGAAGAACATTTGAAGTGTATCAACTTTGTTTATAGAGATTTGAAATGGAAACCTGGATGTGTTAATGTTGGGCTCCTCAGGCCTTGGTAAAATCCTGGTTTCTTTTTTAGCTCAGAGAGCCTCGGTGTTTACCAAACACCCAGGAAAGGAAGTGTAGAGACCTTTGCTGTTGGTGTTTTCTAAAGTTGACATTACAAAGAGATTGCTTGGAAATAACAGAGCACCCAGAGTCATTCTTTGATTATTTCTGTCTTGTAGGTCATTTGGTGTCTGCACACTAAAAACAAGAAGAGATTAAAGTCACAGGGGAAGAACTGCAAAAAATTAGCCAAGAATCTCCTTAAAGAGCCAGAAAACCGTAATAATTTTTGCCTCTGGAAGCAGTACGCACATCTGGAGTGGTTGCTTGGCAACATAGAGGATGCCCGAAAAGTTTTTGATACAGCCCTCAGTATGGTGGGCAGCAGCGAGCTGAAGGACCGTGAACTTTGTGAACTCAGTCTCCTCTATGCTGAGCTGGAGGTGGAGCTGTCACTGGACTCGTCAGGGGCCACCACGGCCCGAGCTATTCACATACTAACCCGACTGACAGAGAGCAGTCCCTACGGGCCCTTCACTGGGCAGGTCTTACCCACTAATGTTTTGAAAGCTCGAAAGGCTTACGAGCATGCGCTACAAGACTGTTTGGGTAAGAGCTGTGTCTCTGATCCAACTCCTGCTGATTCCTTGAACTGCCTGAGTAGCTTGGTCAAATGCTTTATGCTGTTCCAGTATTTGACCGTAGGGATTGATGCTGCCGTGCAGATATATGAACAGCTATTTGCCAAACTGAAGGGTTCTGTTTTCTCAGAAGGCTCTGGCATGGAGGATGGTGCCAGCTCCCAGAATCTGACCAGTGTTCTTGAAGCCATCACGCTGATGCACACAAGTCTGCTGAGGTTCCACATGAAAGTTAATGTTTACCCTTTGACTCCACTACGAGAGGCGCTCTCGGAGGCTTTGAGGCTGTATCCCGGCAACCAGGTTCTTTGGAGGTCATATGTTCAGATTCAGAATAAGTCTCACAGTGCTAGCAAGACCAGAAAATTCTTTGATGCAATGACCAGGTCTGCCAAACCCATGGAGCCGTGGTTATTTGCAATTGAAGCTGAGAAAATGAGGAAAAGACTGGTAGAAACTGTTCAGAGGTAACTATAGGCCATCTTGTTTGTGTACTTCCCAAACCTCTCTGGGGTGCTTGCCATTTTCCTTTGCCTTTGCCAGATCTCAGGAGTGGATGGGGTGCAGGGTCTCGAGCACCTGCTGTGAGCGCCCTGAGTGCTGTAGAGAACACACTGAAGATGAACAAGGGACTTAGAGCATAGCAGCATCTTTCTTGAGAGGCTTTGGTGGCTGTCTTCCTGGGCTGGGCCTCTTGGGGCATGTGTTGCTTTTGGTGTGTACCTGGCAGGCCATCAGAGTGTCTGAAAAGCTATGTGAAAGCACAGTGGTTGAGGGCCTGACGCTGGGGGGTCACTTCTCTGATTCCAGTGCCAGCTCTGTTGGTTAGCAGCTGGGTGACCTCAGGCAAGTTGCTTCACCCTCTTATAGGCTCCTCTCTGTCAAATGAGAATAGTTAAAGAACCCGCCCGCCTCCTATGGTTGCTCTGACGGGTCAGTGAGGTAAGTGCTTGGCCCAGAGACAATGCGTGGTAATTGCTAGCTGCTGTCACTGTTTCCTTAGGAAGCCCTGTCTGCTTCACATGCTGTCTTTTGACGCAGTGTATTATATCCAAAAGTAAATGATAGTCCTGTGAACATATTAGTTTAGGCATCATTGTTTCTTCTGGAATCTCTGTTGTGGTTTCACTGCAACCTTATAAATAAGGCAGAATTTCCATTGAGTAGTGTTTCATTTTGCTTGATTTTTATTTCTTACATTGGGATTTTTCACTGCATATAAATCTTACCTCATCTACTTTGAATGGAAAGGTCTTTCCTTCCTGGGGAGTAGAGTTTGTATTCTGATTTCAGGGTAGGGCAGCATCTTTAGAAAAGAGAGAAGCAAAGAATTTGTGACTTCTGGACAGTCTTCGTGTGGGGCAGAAACCACAGAACCCTGGCCACTGCCTTCCAGAAATCACATTGTGCCTGTACTTGGTGCCACCACACACTTGAAGGACAGCACTCCCTTGACACACTGTGACCTAGCTGTTGCTGACCTTTGTTGTCACTAGAGCATCCCTTCCTGCAGGTCACATAGCAGAGAGGACGTGTTTTGGTTACATGAGCCCTTGCCTTGCAGGGTGGGAGGTAGAGAGATCCACGCCACCATCCCAGAGGCCGGCTTAACACATCGGATCAGAGCCCTGTTTGAGAACGCAGTGCGGAGTGACCACGGCAGCCAGTGCCCCTTACTGTGGAGGATGTATTTGAATTTTTTGGTAAGAAAATATTTCGACTTTTGTTTTTGTTTGAATAGAATTCTGCTTCTTCCTTTTTAAGTGCAAAAGTGTACAAGGCCCAGAGCTGCTGCTGGGAGGGCCTCAAGCCTCCCTGGTGTGGGAACCCTGAGGGAACAGCATCAGGCCTCTCAGGACTTGTGAAGGGGCGGGGATTGCATGTTTACTCAGATTATTTGGTAGAACAAAACCAGTAAGTAATGTAGCAGAACTTAATGTTGGTTTCTTTGAGTTGATTTCATTGAGTCAGCAACTTGAAAAATGGTCTAAGAGCTTTCCTTTGAAGGGAACCTAAATTCTTTATATTCTACACATAAGAATTTTCTGATTCTGTTTTGTTATTAGAAATAAAATTTAGTCTAGAATGTGGTTTTTAAAGTAGACATTTTCAAGCAGATTGTGTTCACTTAAATGGTGAAGCACCATTTAATTTTGTCAACGTGAGGGTGCAGACGGGAAGGTGCTTCTCTGACTACACAGGCTTAACTCGCTTTGCTTTGGGTCTGGGGCCTGGCCCTGAGCTGGCCTCGTCTACTGTTTCCAGGTTGCCTGGTTCTTGAGGACATAGTCTTCTAGGCCTTCTGCTTGTTGCTTTAGTTCAAGGCCACTCACATCCAGCTGACCTCTGGTGAATGTTGTACCTTTTAGAAGCCAGAAGTGACCTTTATTCATAGGTTTTATGTATCCCTGATTATTCCATCAGGACAAATTCTCAAAAATTTCATCAGAGAATTTGAGCATTTGACACAAGACAAAGCTGGGGTGTTTTAAAGAGATGACAGACAGGGTTAGGAGAGGTTTGGCTCTCTGACGGCAAAAGGTCTCCACTGGACACTCCAGAATTTATCTATGTATACCTCTCTGACCTCTGAAAGGGGCCATGTGCTGAAGACCTGAGGGATCAGGAGGATACATCCATCACCTCACGACAGCTATTCATTGGCATATACAGGAAAAATGGGTTAATCCTAAGGGGGTAGAAGTTGCATCAAAAATGAATTACTACAAAAGTTTGTACATTTCCTTTGTATTTGTTCTTTAGATCCAGAAACTCAAGATTTTGTGATTTGTGTGAAATGGAAGCTTAAGGGGTCCTGTGCTATGTGCTTTCGTGGCTGCAAGGGTGCTTCTTGTTTGCCAGAGATGACTAGGTGCAGAAGAATCTGGAGGACTGGAGGACTGGGCTTTTGCCAGAACCCTGCTCTGATTTTTTTCAACATTAATACTCTTGTCACTCTTCCGAAACAATGGGAAATCTGTAGGTTTAAGTGGGGTTAGCTTCCAAATTTGCCAGTGTAATTTCTCCAGTCTTTTATAGGTAAAGGTAGGGTAAGAGCAAATTTATAGTATTTTTATTGAGTCTCAGCTGTGAGCTAGGTTTATTTGGGTTGTAGACTAAAAAATACCATTGACTTGGCAAAAAGATCTAGACTCTTACGGAATTTGTTTGCAAAAGTGGTGTTGAAGCTAAGGATTAATTAGAGCAGTGACTTTGCTTCACGGTTCCTGAATTGTCTGGGTGGGCGCCTAGCACTTTATCAATTAAACACATGAAGAAACCAGATTAGAGCCTAAATGTAGGCTGCAAGTGCCACGAGAAGAGCCGTGGGCCCCGTGAAGGGTGAGACCTGGGGCTGGGCTGGTGAGTTGCCTCTGCTAGAGCCTTCCCTGGACCTATGTACGGACTGACTTGCTTGCTTCTTTCACTGCAAAAATGATTGAGGGATTGAAAACTTACTTTTGGCTGTGGAGAATATGCAAGGAAAAGGAAGTGGACTAACAGCAGTTCAAACTCTCCACTCAGATTGGGACTTAGCCAGTTAAAGCCTCAGTTTTAGGATCTTCCAGTGCATTGTTCTGCATAGTATTAACATTTCAACCAGACTTTTTTGTTGTTGTTTTGGCTAAAGTTGCAGTTACTTTGAAGATTTTTTTGGTCATTTCCTACACAATAAGGAAGGAAATGTAAGTATTGATAAGCTAGTCAGCTGATTCCATGGGGCTGATGAAAGAAGTCTTGCTACATGAAAAAGAAACAGTGGCATTTCTAAATGGTTAATCACTAGATTTCTTTTACCCTCAGTACAGTTCCTTGTGCCATCCTGTTGATAGCGGGCAGAGTTCAGGCCATATTGAGAGGCCACCATTGAGGAGGGCTGGTGGGAGGGAAGAGATTCTTTTCAGCTGCCCTCCTGGGGTGAATGAGTAAACTTCTCATAGTGCCAGCAACTCATAAGGGGAGTATTATAGAGAGATGACATTTTATTGGAGGAAAATGGATATCAGTTTTGTCAAATTGCTTGAAAAAATTCTGTGAGCTAACAGTTGCTCAGATAAGTTTATAATGAGATGAGAAAAGAGAATCAAGTTTTGCAAAAGTGTGAAGACTTCCACCTTCTCATTTTCTTAGAGGTGTTGCTTCCCCTGTCGAGGTGGAGCATCTCAGAGAGGAAGGCACAGAATACCAGACTAAGCACCAAACAGCTTTGCAAAATGGGCGAGTGCAGACCACTTGGTAGGTGTGCCGAGGCGGCCTGGTGGTGGCTGCCACTCCACATGGCCACTGGTGTTCTTCCCGCCTAGGGAGAGGAGAACTGTGGTGCCCCGCTCACGGCTGACACGGGAGCTGCTCCAGGGAGGCTGGCCTCCATGTTCCTTACGTGTGCGCGACTCGGCTCCGGGGGCTGAGGGTGAAGGAAGGGGGCGCCTCTGTGTGAGCCCTGTCCTGCCCCTCTGAAGACTCATTGGCAGGATCAGGATGTGCACAGAGATGGTAAAGTGTGACCATTTGCCCACTGCATAGGATGCCAGTCGCTGAAACAAATTTTCAAAAGAGTTATTCACAAGGCAGCTGAGTTGGAGTGGGAGGCCACACATCTCCCTGCCTGAGGGTAGGTGTGGGATAGTTATGGGGTAAAGAAGCAGGGTGATCTGTGGTGTGGGGAGAATGATTGGAAGATGAAGTGATCTGTGTTTCATGCACATGTAATGAGACTTCATGGCTCTTTATGAGACACATGTACAGAAAACAGAGGTGCACGATCTGAAGAAGGTAGAGATTTTGGCCCTCTGACGGCAAAAGGTCTCCACTGGACAACTGCGCAGGCCCAAATGAAGAGTTGGTGGTTTCAACAAATTTGCCAAGTCCCTGAAAAGTAACCTAGGCAGCTGTTACCATCATGACCCACGCGTCAGAGGTGTCATCTGTAGCTCAGCTTGTGAGAGACTAAGAATGTATAGCTCAGCTCCGTGACCTCCAGAATTAGTGATCTGTAAAGCCAGTAAAAATCAGGTAACTAAAGTGGGAAAGGGGCTTCAGAGAGAAGTACAAAGCATCGGTTCACATATACGAGGCTAGGCCAGCCACGTTTGTTAATTATCAGAGTTAAGATTCCAGTCTTCATGGAGTCTTGGAGACTGAGGTGAGGGTTACCTTCCCAACAGTGGCTCTCAGTTTCTTGGGAGATGCTTCTGACTGGCAAAAGGTAGATATTTATAACTGGGATCCTCTCTTTTAGTAAATGCCCGGCAGATGGTTGGCCCCGGTGAGCAAGAGCAGCTCTCTTCCTTCATCAGCTCTGTCTTCTTTGGTTCCATGCAGAGACTCAGTTGGTGCCCTCAGGTGCTCCTGGCTTGCCTGAGGACACACATTTACCCAGTCATAATACCGTGGGGGTGACAGGAGTGTCACAGAAACTCCAGAAAAGAGGGTATCACCCCCCAGTTATGTTTCATTCCTGAAGGAATCTTACAAGGAGTCTTGGGTGTTAAGATGACATTTAGATGGTGATAGAGGGACCAGGAGAGCTGGTAGTGGCCATGGACTCTTCTCTCACTTGAGGCTTGCTCTACCCACAGGTGAAGGCATGTCCAAGGCCGTGTCTTAGAATACAAAATCATGGGTAGAAAACACATGGTCACCACTGAGTTCTCACCTGGCATCAAGCTCTTCCACCCCTGATGCAGAAAAGGACAGTGTTTTCCTGTGGCCTGTTGATGAAGGAAATGCCACTGAAAAGAGTATAGTGGTTTATTGGGCTCCAGGATTCTGCACTTGGTAGAAGACATAGTAATATAGTTTTTCTTATTCTTTCAAAAAGGAAGAAAAGGTTCAGTTTAGTCAGGAGTTAGGAGAGGACATTGACGCATACTGACGTGGGAAGGAGCACACCGGCTGCTTAGTTGTGAATTGAGTGGCCCAGCCTCAGAACTGGAGGCATTCAGTAGAAAGGACACATGGGAGTCTCCTGAGCCTTGTGGCTGGCTCTTGGAGACGCTGAGCCTTGCCCAAAGCAGGGTTCTCATAGATGTTGTTACAGTCCAAGCTGTAGTCCCTTGTGACCGTGGGAGTGAACCTTCAAGATTGAAAGATGGAGTTCCCGAGCAGCAGTTTGGATCTCTGGATGCTGCAGTCCAGGTTTCCAGGAGCCCAGTCATTAGCTCTTCCTTCTTTGCTGGCTGCAGCATGCTGGCTGTGTGGCTAGGGAGAGCCAGTGTCCACTAGAACACGATCCTGAGGGAGCAGGCTGGGTGGACAAGCACAGAGACAGACTTGAGCTCCCTGGGCTCTGCTCACGCCACCCAGCAGGTACTGTCCTGGGTAGCTGGCTTCCCAGGAAGGTCAGGAGAGGTCCCCAGCAATGGCTCCTTCCACACTGGGCTGGGAACACAGTGGTGGCTGACTTTGAGATGAAGGTTTTAGATCTAGAGAGAAAGCCGGCTGAGAACCTGCACACACTCAGACTGAAATTTCTGATGGAAAAATTTAATAAGGTGAAATCTGGCAAATGGGGTAAGCTATTGGAGAAATGAGATAGTCCTGATTATTTCATTTCTCTAAAAGACAGCTTTCATCCAGTGGCACATACTAAAGCAAAGGTTTTTTTCATTTGCACAACTTATCAAGTTCACCAGCTTCATCTTGCGGACGCAGAATGAGGCAGGTGGTTCCCAGTACAGGAGGGGGAACAGGATTGCTAATAAAAGTGCTCAGCATCAACATGGGGCCATTTGAAGAGGGAAATGTCTACCACATAGCAGGGGCCTAGAGAGCATCTTCTGGTATCTGGGCGCATTCCCTTCAGCCACTGTGATGGTACCGGGCCATCCACAGAGGCTGCCTACGCGGCTGGGGCCGTATGCCATGTGAGGGCTGTTTTTTTTTGTTGTTGTTGTTTTTTAAATTTCTTTTTTATTAAAGCCTGAGCTCTGCTTCAGTTGATCTTTTTTGTATTTTCGCCCTCCCCTCAGGCTTCCTTAGGAAACAAAGACAGAAGCAAAGGTGTGTTCTACAAAGCACTTCAGAATTGTCCCTGGGCAAAGGTAGGTTTTACACACCATGGTATCTTAAGATTCCTCAGGACCTTTCTCCTAGGCCTCTGCCCAGCCAGTATCGTCTGGACATCAGGGCGATCAGTACCCCTTCCTGGGGAACATGTAGGGCGTATCCTAGTGATCTGTTCCCTGTGGAGTCAGAGCCCAGTGGTCCGTTTCCTTGCCCTGCATTGAAATGTGGCTCTTAACACCTGCCCAGAATTCAGCCTAGATGCCAAAAGTGTTGGGATCCATGTCCCATCCAGGCCAGGAGACATTCGGAGTCAGTAGACAGTGACTCAGGGTCTCCAGCACCTCTGGCCCCCCTGTAAGCGGGGCCTCACTTGGTGCTCACTGGCTTTCACTGCTGTCGAGTCCCCTGTCCTTCCTGACCAGTGCTGCCTGAGCTAAGAAAGCTCAAGAGAAAGGGAAAGTGGACTGTGGAGGGCCAGGGTGGGGGGCACGCTGGCTGGAACCCCTCCACTCTCACAGAGGTCTTTCCCTGGTACTAGGTGTTGTACATGGACGCCGTGGAGTACTTCCCTGACGAGCTGCAGGAGGTGCTGGATCTGATGACTGAGAAGGAGCTGCGCGTGCGGCTGCCCCTGGAGGAGCTGGAGCTCCTGCTGGAGGACTAGGGTGCAGGCAGGGGAGCTGGGGAGCACATGCGAGGAGCCTCTGTTTTGGAAGTGCTCTTCTTGGTCCTGTGTGTCGGGGTTGTCAGGCTTTCCCATCTTACAAAGGTTTTGGATGTGTGGACGACACAGAGCCGTTGCTTTACATATTACATATGTGAATGTGTGCACCTGTGTACAGAGGCAAAAAATCACCAGTGATGACAAAACGTGTGTTGAGCTGTGTGTGGACTCCTGTTCCTTCTGCTCTTGCTCTGCCCAGCCAGCACTGGCCCCACCCTGGTACACACAGCCCCTGGTGGCATCATTGAGGGTCCTTCCAGATCCCTCTGTGTTGGGACTTTAAAGTCTGGCCCCTTAACATTAGGACGTCTTTCTGAAGCGGGGTGGCAGGAGGGCAGATTTTGTCCTTATCCTCAGCCCAGCACAGTGGAGGGTCGTTTAACCCTTGGTGTTCCTTCCTGGGCCAGGTGTGGGGCAGGTGTCTGCTTATTTCCTGAGCCCCACCGGGTGGCCCCTGCCTCTGCACAGCAGCATCCCCTGGGATCTTGGGAGCAGTGCAGATTCCCAGGCCCGCCCCAGCCCTGCGAGTCAGAGTCTGCCCTCCACCAGTGACGAGTGAAAGCCCTGCCAGCCCTCCAGAAAGCCTGCTGATGACACCATCCCAGAGAGGGCGGACTGCAGCCAGCACCTTCCCCACCCAGCCCGACTCTGCAGGGAGCACTGAGGTCCGCTTGGCCTCCGTGTGGCAGCTGGCCCTGTTTTTGATTGCTGAGGGCTGTGAATAGAATGAGAGAGAAATATCCACATTCGGGCTTCTTTCTGCTCTGAAGAGATTGGCAGCGCAGTCCTTTTCACCATAAAAATGTGGCGGGAGGGATGTCTCGTCTGTGTTGCCCACAGACCTGCTGCAAAGCAGATAGCTCCTTCCTGGACTCTCTTTTTTTTAATCCTCATCTGTATAATTGCTGAAGATTTTGCATTTCTTTGGCCCCCCCCATACAGAAACGCCTGTGTTGTGGGATGTAAATTTGGCCCAAAGCTGATGGACAGGTTGGGAAATAGAAGGGAGTCAGTGTGCTAGCGTGCTTTCCAAGGGCAGTGTCTCAGGATACCCAGTCACTACCGCCTCCTGCCCCTCCCTGCGTGCGTTTCTTCAGCAAAGAGGCACCTAATGGTGCTCCCTCTGGTGTCTTTTCACAGAAACAGGCAGAGCTTAGGGAGTTGAGAGCTCAGCCCTGAACTGGACCCGCTGAGAGCCACTAGAGCGCAGGGCTGAAATGAGGAGCCTCCCGCTCCCAGTTCTTGGCAGCTTACGAAGGAAAGTCTTTGACACCCTCACCTTCTTGTCGGGTGGGTAACTTGCACACCCTATTGGGGGCATCCAGTTGAAGCCCAGGACCAAGCCACATCCCCCTCAACAGTGACTCATGTTTTGATCCTATCTGATTCCTGCACCTGTTCTCATTTGATTAGAACTTTAGAAACTGGCCTGTGGGTAACTGGTCCCCTCATACCCTAGTGGGATCCTTGTACCTTGGGAGCCTGGAATGAATTGTGCAGATGGGCAGTGAATCCCTGAAATGTGATAAAGGAGCTTCTCACATTGAGTTTTGGCACATTACCCTCTGCATGAGAAGATGCTTTAACACACACGCACACACACACACACACACGAATTCTCTGTGGGTAGCAGTGTTTTTTAAAGTTTTTTGTACTTGAGACAAAATGGGTACTTTATCACTGAGCTACACCTCCAGCCCCTTCATTGAAGTTTTTGGTACTGAGGATTGAACCCAGGGGCACTGAACCACATCCACAGCCCTTTTTTTAAAAAAAATAATTTAGTAGAGAGTATCTCACTTAGGGCCTTGCTAAATTGGTGAGCTTGCCTTTGAACTCATGATCCTCCTGCCTCAGCCTCCCTAACTGCTGGGATTTCAGGTGTGCACCACCGTACCCAGCCCCTTTTATTTTTTGAGACAGGTCTCACTGAGTAGCTGAGGCTGACTTCAGACTTGCAGTCCTCCTGCCTCAGCCTCATTGGGATCACAGGTATACACAACCATGCCTGGCTGGCTGTGGGTGGATGTTTTATAGAAAAATGGATAGTGAAATAATTGTGATTTTTTTTGGAGACTTTTTTTGAGATTGCTCAATATAAAAGCATGAAAGATGATTAGGTTGTTCCCAAAACTAACAAACTGATGGGAAAAGAAGGGGTTTGAATTTCTCCAAGTCTGTCAGGCAGTTGCTCTTATATTTATCAGGAGTGCTAATTAATTCCTCAAGGAGTTCTTATCACTTCAGACCCTAGGGCTCAGCCCTGTCTTGGGTCTGGGATGACACTGGAGCGGAGCAGTGCCCATACTTCTGGCTTGTTGTTTGCTGGACTTGCAGGGATCAGGGAGAGCCGGGAGGTGCCCTCTGTGCTATGTCCAGTTAAGAGAAGCCTCTCTGTTAGCTGCTGCTCATAGTACACACATATTCCTTCGTTATTTTGCATTTAAAAAGTGAAGACAGGGTAGTTCCTCTGCTTGCTATAAGGGAGTGATCGGAGAGTTCACCCTAAAATACTTCTTCTGAGGAAGGGCTTTAAGGGACTAGTGACTTCCACAGGCAGCAGAGCTGACTGCCCTGTTCACCAGGTGAGAAACCAGAGAAGAAACTCATCTGAAGAAATTATTAGTCACTTCGTTCCTGTGGCTTGCACTGTGGACCATCGGTGGAAATGGTAATTTTAGCATTGGTTTGGTCAGCAAACTAAGTGGAGAGGCAGCTGGATTGGGGTGGAGGTGGGGTACAAGTTCAGGCTGTGACCGCACTGTACCTCAGCTCCCTCTACTCAGACACTGTAGGCACTGGCATTTGCTTTGGCTACTTTTCTTTGAGAGAAGGGAGACGTCTCTATGGATAGAGGAGGAGAAGGAAATACTGATGTGCATGTGTTTTATTCTTTTAAAGTCTGAAACTTAAAAAATATTTTACAGAGGAGTGAGTGTAGTCATTCCTTAGTATCCATGGAGGATTGGCTCCAGGACCCCCTGAGGATTCTGAGATCCAGAACATACTTCAATCCTTTAGGTAGAAAGGTATAACTTTGCATATGACCTATGCATATCTTCCCATATACTTTAAATCACCTCTAAACGACTTGTAACACCTAATGTAATTCAAATGTTACATACACAGTTGTTTTACTGTATTGTTTGGGAGTAATGACTAGAAAAAGGTCTGTACAGTTTCAGTACACAATTTTTCCTGAATATTTTTGATCCGGGATTGACTCCTTGGATGTGGAGGGCGGACTGTACACGGAACTTTTTTATCCTGACCCACTTGAGGGTAAGTTGCGATAGTTTTCTGCACATTACCATGCAAGTATCAAATAGGAACTCGGCATGAATATAGTTCCCTGTAAGATCTTAAGGTCAAAGTTAGGCCTCAAGGATTGTCCCAATGTCTTCTGTAGGAAGAGGATCCTATACACTTGGTTATCATGTACATCTCTTTGGCTCATTCGGTCTAGAAGCTTTAACTTGTTTTTTTTTTTTTTTTTTTTGTAATTTGTCCAGAATTTGTAGACTGTTAAATTTGTAGGTCTAGGTATATCCTCCTGAATGGATTCAAAGTATCTTTGGCAGGAGTGTCACAGTAGTGACACCTCTGGGCTAGCACATACTTTCAAGATGCCCATTGTTGATGTTTGTTTTGATAACCAGGTTAAGATGGTATCTCCTGGGATTCTCCAACGTGAAGCTGCTTTTTCCCTAATTAAAGAGCATTTTGTGGGGAGGTATTCTGAAAATTGCAAATGTCCTGTTATCAAGTTTTCAATTCATGGATATTAGTATGAGCTCAGTTCCTATTTTAAAGGACTGTATTCCATTGATGTTAATTATTTTGACCAGTGGCAGCACCTTCAGACTGGCAGTGTCTTTTGACATGTCCATTCTGTATACTTCTTGCTTTCTGGCAAAATATACTTGAGGTTCATGCCCAGCTCTGGAATCACTCTTTTAGGGGAGAATGGTATTTACTTTTTGTGGTACTGGAGATCCAGCCCTGGACATCATTGTTGCTCAACAAGTGCTCTGCCGTCTAACTACATCCCCAATCCAAAAATGGTATTTAGGAGCAAAGATGTAGGTCTAGGTATGTCCATTGTAATTGGAGTGTCTCCATTCCTAGCGGCTGTCAGTGGATTGAGTTCATTCTACTTTCCTTCTTTCCTTACCTGTCACTTCTCAGATAGTAAGGATGGCAGGAGCCAGGTTTCTCACCATGTAACTACATATAACCAACCTTTTCTATTTCTGCCACTATCCAGTCCTGCATGGATGCCCTCCTCACTTACAAGGGCTGTAATACTCGTTAGGCTGTTTTCACATGGATGCTTCTTAACCTGCCCATGCCAAGTCCCTATGCTGTGCTGCTGCTCCATGTGGACAAGGACCCTTCTCAGGCTGCCTGATTGGGAACCCCACTTCCTCACACATACATTGTCTTCCTCCTCTTGCACTGGGCCTCTTTGTTGGGATATCCTCCATGGTAGGCAGAATGGTCCCCAAAGATGCCCACACCTAAGCTCTGGAACATGTGAGTGTTGTGTGGCAAAAGGAACTTTGTAAACAAATTGTCTTTTTTAAAATGGAGAGGTTATCCAGAATTATCTGGGTAGGTCCATGTAATCACAATGGCATTAGTGTGAAAAAGATAGGCAGGCAGAAAGATGGGAAAAATTCAGAACTCAAAAGGGACTTGGCTTGCTGTTGCTGGCTGAGGATGAGTTGGGGGAGCAGGGGTGCATGGGCATGAGTCAAGGAGTAAGTGTGGCCTTCACAATCTGGGAAAGGTCCTCACATCTGAGGTAACTCCTAAAATTCCAAGAAATAATTCTGCCAGTGACTCCCAGGTTAAGAAACTGTATTCTCCCCTAGAGCCTCCATAAAGGAATGAAGTTCTGCTAACACCATATGAGCCGCAGAAGACCAGTGCTGGACTGAGGTTTTGTTTTTGTTTTTTGGTGATACTGTGGATTTAACCCATGGGTACGCTACCACTGAACTACACTCCCAGCCCTTTTAAATTCTGAAGCAGAGTCCTACTCAATTGCTAAGGCTGGCCTTGAACTTGAAATCCTGCTGCCTCAGCCTCCTGAGTAGCTGGGATTATAGGTGAATACTACCACTCCCAGCAAGAGACAAATTTAT